ATAGATTATAATGTATTAAAGTTAGAAAAATGTTTGTATAAACAAACCTTGAATTTAAGTATCAGTTACTTATATAATAATATTAATAAAATAATTTGGATTATATATGTATTAGTCATAGACTACAATACTATTCTAAATAAAACAATATTTTGTACTAAAATCAAATAATAATAAGCATTTCTATATTTAATAAAAAGCATTTTAATGTATAAATATGGGTAGGTTGAATTGAAATTAATAAACTTTTAATTAGTGTTATTATAGATAGTATTGGTTATCCATTGAATGTGATGCGAGACCCGAACAGCTGTTATTCTATAGTAATCAATGTATTCCATACACGCCTTATCCACAGCCCTTCCAGCACTTACAGTGATCCCCATAACAACGGCCAAACCATTCGCATACTGTACTATTGGTCCACCGGAATCACCCTGATCATTTATTTTAGTTTATTAGAAATTGTTTATTACCACTATTCGGCATAGAATAATTTGGTTATATAGGATCGTTCGGTCCTCTCACCTAATGGGATTTAACATGGGATTAAACAAAATTATATGCCATACCTCACATATACCCGTTCCCGTAGGGAATGGCACCCGGAATGCACGAATGGCGTCATTTTGACCGCCAGAGGCTTTTTGAATTGTGGTGAAACCAGTTCTCAATATACCAAAACCCGTGCGGTTGTCACTGTCGACACCAAACCCAACCAATTGGACGTATTCTTCCTCCTTATTGGCGATCATCTCTTCGGGCAAACAAATCGAGTTAATACCCGACGAACCGGACGTACCGTCCAATGGTATAGCAGTGTTGAGTCGGAGTAATCCCAAGTCATAGGGTCGGTGTTGATTGCGTTCCCATTCGGGATGAATAAAATACTGACCGCCCGTATAATAGGTTTGGTTTGTATAGCTCTGGTTTGTTAGCCCCGGGTATACACGAAAGTCAGGCGCCGCACAGTTTACGTAACAACTGAAACAGTATTTATCATTAGTAATTAGAGGGATGGCGGGTTAAATGGTAAAATTAATTAGACATGATATTTAAAGTGTCATCATTGCCAGTAAAAATAAGGAATATGTTTAATATAAACCGTGGATTAATATTTATAGCATTCAGGGCTTCAAACATGTTTTATAATATAATATTATCGTGTGATCAACAAATATATTGAACAAGTTTAATACATACGATAAACAGTGACCACATGTTAGGATCCATCGCTCGTTTAGTATTACACCACTAAATACTCCATAACTTGAAAGTGAGAGAAAGAAAAGAGAGAGAGAGAGAGAGAGAGAGAGTGAGTAATATGAAAATTTATTAATTCAATAAATAGATATAATGTAAATTAAAATCCATAACTTGAAAGTGAGAGAAAGAAAAGAGAGAGAGAGAGAGAGAGAGAGAGAGAGAGAGAGAGACTATATTGAATTTATATACTGTATATTATATGTGTATAATATAAACATAATATTCTGTACAAAACCTTCCAAAATTATCTCTGATATACACAGCCCACGGCTGCTCTCCCTTCTGGACTACCCGTCCGTTTTGAATGCCGGCAAACATTGTATGACTGTTTGGATGATAAGTGAAGCACTTGTTGTCCATAGGATTCGCTTTCCTCCCGACTCCACAGCCGGCAGTTGTTATATTCTCGTAGAAATGAATTCTCGCATGACTTCCATTACAGCCAACAATACATACATTTAACACTAAAATTAGCATTAATTTAAATTCAAACATTTGTCTAATTATTAATAACATTTCTTACGCATTAAAGAGCCAACAAATGCAATCATAACCAATTAAAATATTTTGCTTGATGATTTAAATTATTAATACAGTGAACGTATTGTATAAATAATATAAATTTTAGATAAAAAATTAGGAAAACTGATTATACATTAAAATATTGTTCATTATTTTTAATTTTATAAAATATTAAATTTAATAATTGCAATATTTTATTTCAAAAATATTTATCTCACATTTCTCATTAAATAGCTCTCTCTCTCTCTCTCTCTCTCTTTTCTTTCTCTCACTTTCAAGTTATGGAGTATTTAGTGGTGTAATACTATTCAATATAGTCTCTCTCTCTCTCTCTCTCTCACTCTAGAAATTTAACATTTAAATGTATTATTTTACATAAAATACTGATAATTATTAAAAACTTTTATTATAATTAGATTCACATTTATTTAATATCACACAAAATTATTATAACTTTTCAATACAGTGGAAAATTTAGCATGGTAAACAGCTATCCTGACAAGTGAGTGTTTGATTGATATTTAAAATAATAATGTTTGTGTTTGTTATTAATTTTAGCATATTTTCTAATTGTAATGTTTATTATTGTAAATAAATATTTATTTTAGATTAATACTGTAATGTTAACAATTTATTTGTAATAAAATTTATTAATTTAATTGCATTGAAATAGTATTTATGGTTTGAATTCTGTTATTACGTGAAAACCTGCGAACAAATTGACGCCAAAACCAAAGCCATAATCGGCTGTCAATTACGGCGACAATCAATTGNGTATGACATGTACGCCGGGAATGACATAATGGGCTCATCTTTATAGACATACATCGGTTGAGTTGAGTCCCAAACGAGTCGGTCCTCTGAATACCAGTCCTCCGGTCTGTCGTCGTTATACCAAACCCTTTGAATGTAATCCTTGTTATCGTTGACAACACGCGAGCGATAATCGATTGCCAGACAATCGGGCGGACAATACTTCGGACACCAAATATTTGCTTTCGTCTAAATGGATATCGTTTGAAAAGTGGATAACAATTAAAACAAATTAATTGTGATGAAAACGTTTTTGGTGCAATTTGTTAGATATAAAAATGAGTATAATTATATAAATCAATATTTACCTCGTTTATTCCATTAAATTCAAATCGTTTGTCCATCATGGACATGTTAGCACAATCATTGTTAGCCTGTGTGATTATGCCATTATGACTGTCAAAATCTAATTCATGATAATACAAATCCATACGATATAAACCACACCATTCTTTGCGGGGTTTCCTAACGTAACTCAATCGACACCTTCTCATACAATGCCAGTAGGAAGTCGCCCGAAACGGTTGTCCACTGCCGTCCCCTTCGGCACCGGTCGCCGGGTCTGAGCCGTAGTGACTGCACCGGCCGTACGGCGCCGGTAACTGCCGTCGCATTGTTTTTGTGACGGCAAACGTATGGTTTACCCCAGACAATACGGGTTCGGTTGTTAACATGGGTTGGAAATCGGCGACAGATTTGTAGTGAAGTAATACATACTTCGGGTCTAAACCCAAAGTTTTACTCCAGCGACGAATGACCGCAAACTGTTGATCTGTCATCTGTGGGTTGTGATCAATTCGACTGATGGTAGGCGATGGCCGACTAGAAGGCAGGCTAACCATATCATTAATTACACCGTATGTCATAAGTCGTTTCAGCGATCGGACGTCAACGCCCGGCCACTCGTGAACATCTCTAACCACTAACCGCGTGTCACTCAAAGCGTCGACAGTATTATAATTAAATACTGGAATGTTTGTAGTGTTTCGTCGGCAGTGCGGAGACAGTCGTGACCGCAAACACTGCCGTTTATAGCGATGGACTAATAAGATGTCAATGGGATATACGAGTGTTATATACGGTAAGTGTGGGTCAATTGAATTGTCCATCACATGAAATGCGGTAATTGTTTTGTACGAAAAAAATTCATACGAAACTTCATATAATTGATAGCCAAGTATTGCAGCCATAATGCAGATGAGTGTACTCTAAATTATATTTCAATATTAGTTATATTCAAAATGAATTATCGATGTTATGGTTAGCAATACTATAAAACAAATTATTAAGTCTGAATTGTGTGTAAAAATACCTTAATATATGATGTATTGAAAAGCGCTGTCCAATTGAATCCATAGGTGAGTCGTCGGACGCGTTGGCGAATCAAACGTACGACAAATAAAACACGGAATTTGTTTCCCAAATAAACCAACATACTGTATATAAAACTAGCGATTGTGAGTCCGTGCCATAGACTCAACACATTAATCAAATTAATTATTAGATTAATTAATGTTATTTTTGGGATGTATTTGAATTGTAAATAGTAAGCATCACTCATTGTGAACGATGTAAAAGCATTTCTCTGAATTAAATCATACGCTTCTTGTGAGTAAACTTCTCTTCTTATTGTTTGATATATAGTTTCCCGACAATCGGCCGGACATTTAAAAAGATAATAATTATTTTCAATATACAATCGATTGGAAGGTTGAGAGCATTGGTTCACAGAATCCGTCACAATATTATTGCCAACCGTTAACTCAATGGTCGGTAAATCGTTGTCCGCATAACAAGTGGTTGTGTTTCCGTATTGTCTCTCATATAGCGATCGATAGCATCGCTGCAGACAATCGTATTGTGTGCCTCCGCCTGACCTCTCACGGCATCCATTGCCGACACCTCCGGACTCATGCGGCCGTCCGCTATCGTACGGCGCCGGCAGTCGTATCAACTCATATGGTATTACTCTGACTGATAGCCCCATTGAACGGCCGTCTGTAGCTATAAAATCCTTGTATTCAAACCAGTGGTCCGTCTGTTTTGGCAACTCTTTTGGTGAATGAATAATAAAACGTTTTCGCAAAATATTAATCCTATTTATAATGCCATCCAAT